CAATGGCTAAATTGTAATCCCACATGTCCAGCCCTGCTGCTTTTATAGTTTGAGAGCCCCCTTTGTACTGATTGAAGCTGGACAGCGACCCTGACCCACAATCCATGTCTATAAATATTTTGGTGAACAAGTATGAAACAATGGATCATGACCAAAAATGGAATAATGAATTCGCTCACCCCGGTTTGCCCAATCAATGGAGTGCTTCATTGGCATCTATTTCAGAAGGGATCTATTTCAGATCTTGGATTATGCTTAATCCGGCAAAAAAAATTGATGTCTCAATATACTGGATCCCATACCAACTTCTTAGTAAGAGTTTAGGTAAATTGGTCAGTCATTGGAGGTGCAACACAGTTAACACTTCTCTTACTGATACGTTTCAGTCCAGTAGCCACTTCCTTTTTGAATTTGAATAATTTGGATAAATTTTGTGATGGAAAGTTCTTCAGTATTTAGAGATGCGCATGTTCTTCTTACCAATCTCCCTCTCTCATTGAACTTATTACAAGGTCAACATAAATGGAATCTCTGTGCTCTTTTGACAGCTAGAAGAAAAATGCTACAACACTGGAAGGACAAACAGCCATCTGCAGTAACACAGTGGGTGGGTGACTTGATAACATATTTTATTTTTGAACAGATGGTTTTCAGGCTAATTTACTAATTGACAAATGCATGGATAGTTGGGCTGTTTTTGTTGAAGTGTATGTGCAGCTGCCTTTGACAAATGTATATTCTGATGGGGTACATAGTATTTACATGTTCACTGAAACAGAAGCACTCAAATCTCATGTTTAAAAGGTAGCATTTTTGTTTTACTTTTTTAGGTTTGGGTTTTGAATTTGAAATTCCCAGTAAATAATTAATTAAAAACCTTCTTTTTCAGAAGATACTTTCCTGACACACACAGCCCATTTCTAAATGCTCCGCCAAGTTCCCCTCCTCCCTTTAAAAGGTTTCTCTTCTCCTCCCTCATTGCCCCTTTCACTTTGGTCAGTCAACATGAATATCTGTGGCTTACATTGTATTTTCCTGTAATTATCGTTATTTGCCACTGAGTCCAAAGGAAAAGTTAAGGAGTATGTAAGGAGGATACAGGTGGAGCCAGTTAAGGAGAATACAGGTGAAACCAGTTTCAGTCTTGAGCCAGGCTTGAAAGTGAGGGCCACATCATGGAAGTCCTCTCCTCCCCAAATTGCTCAAAGCCAGGTATTTAGGACATGAGTGCCAAACCCTGCCCAATCATCAGGTTCTTTAATGGGCATCAAAAGCACAAAGGCTGGCAGGTGCAAATGCCATTGTATACCCAACATAGCTCACATCCAGTCCATCCTGTTCTTTTGCTGAAATCTTATGCAAACCATATGGCATTTAGTCCGCATGTTCTAGGCTCCCAGTACTCATACATTAATAATGCAATCCTGCAGAATACCTGAAGGGAAGAAGCTCCCTGAAGGAATGCCTCTTGTTACATATGCCTGCCCATACTTGAAGGTAGTTTTCAGCAGTCTTTCTCCAAGAGCTCCTACTGCAGGGAGTGAGATGGCTGCCTACTAAGAAAAGGGCATCTTCTGTTGTGGCACCCTGGCTGTAGACCAAGTGCCCCAGAGAGGTCCACCTGGCACCTATGTTGTGCTCTTGTTGATGCCAGATGAAGCCCTTCTCATTTTCCCAGGCATTTAGTCTTTCAGTTTTTGTTGATATAAATGTCTGACTGCATTTTGAACCGCATTTATGGATTGGATTTCTACCCCACCTTTTTTCCTTCAAGGAACTCAAGGTGGCTTACATAATCCTTCTCTTCCTCCTTTCAATCTTACCCTCAAAGTGAACTTTGCATTGTTGCTAGATTTTGTTTGATTATTATTTTCATTTTATATTGCGATTTAAAAAACACTTAATATTGTATTTTGTAATTTTAATTGTGAACTGCCCAGAGAGTCTCAGCTGTCGGATAGCAAGACAGAAAAGGAAAGGTTCTCCAACTTTGAACCAGACCTAAGTTTTCTTTCATTTAGGTACACAGGCACAGCTCCCTTATGATCAAAGAAACTACCATTTTGTTGAAAGCTGAATGAGCTTTGCCCAACAATCTAAATAATGATACCAGTGTCTGATCTGGTTTCAGCTACTACTTAGCAAATGATTTAAGTTAGTACTGCTACAGGTACATTCATTTTTTTTCAGCAGATCACAACTGTTGCTGTTCAAGATATAAAAGGCAGACAGTTCCCAGGAATGTAAACCTAACATTGCAATCATAAATAGAATGTCCTCAGTGGCCTGAGAATTCATACCATTATATTAAAACCCTTGTTACTGATACAGTTTTAAAAATAAATGTCCATCTGGTATTTTTATCATTGAATCTTTCAAGCTCTGTAATTTCTTTGAGGGGCTTTACCCTGTATACTAAATATACCAGAAGCTTTAATCTTAAGCAAGGAAAGACAGATTTTCTCTTTTGTTACCTCCTACTATTTCTATCCCAACTAATTCAAATATCTTACAAGGTTCAAAAAAGCTGAGTGTTGTTTTGCTTTAGGTTCCTGTTTTCCCTGAATGGCAGGAAATTTCAGGAACAGATTCTTACAGGGTCTTTATAAGTAGAGATGGATGGAGTCCATTAGCATGTTTTTATCATCTCTGTTTATTAATAATACGTTAAGCAGTGGGGAAGATGACAACCAGCATCAATTCCATCAATTCCCACAGCAAAGCAAAACAGCGTGTGCCTGGAGCCTCCAAAGTCTCCTTCCTTTCCAGAAGCTGAAAACCCTGAGACTGCTGTCTCCTCAGCAGGCCATTTTCAACACTCCTCTCCAGCTCACCAAGCATGTGGCATGTGAAATAGTGAGTAGTCACCAACCAGTAATTAAAGAAACATTTTCAGGCCAACAGAAGCAGTTAAGCAAGAATCTTTGGCTACCTTTGCAAACACTACTACAACCAAGTGCTGATTAACAAATAATCATTATACAAAAGACAACAGAACACTCTGTTGTGAGCAGCTCTCCTGCTTTAACACTCCAGCAGACTTATATGAGAATTTTTATTAGAACTTGACTGGTTAGATTACATTAAGAATCTTCTTGAGATGTAGGAGAAGCATCTGCCCATGTAAAGAGAAGTTCCCTCCCTTGCTCCCTCAGCCCTGCTATTTGAGAGCAGACAGCAGGAAAGCTGGGTGCTTCTTAACTGGTCTGCTCATTTCACCTGTCATTTCTTTGCAGGGTTGGTCACTTCCCCTGCATCTCTCCCCTTAGTTCTGAAGGAACTTCACTAGGTACCCTTGAACCCGCAGAGTCATCTGCCCCTCGACTTCCTCCTCACAATCAGAAATATCCTTCTGAGAAGACTCCCTGTCTCAACTGAGCCCTCTCTCTGCACACTCTCCCCAATGAAGCTCACCTGGCACCAACACTAACCAGTAGCTCATAAACCAGGGGTGGCTGCTTGGCTTGTGTGAATTCAGGCTTAGTGGTTCACAAGCCATGCTGCTGAGTTCTGATAACATGACAAGCCAGCTGTGGCTTATAAGCCCCCAGAAATCATCATGTTGTGTGAACCTAGTTAGTGACATATTTTTAGCATTGGACAAAAATGTACACCCAGTCTCTGTGTTAAGGAGTTCCATCTCTGCGATCATCTTTAAGTTGAATTTGTATGCAAGCCTGATCAGATATATAAAAAGCATATAAAACACTTAAGAAACACTTCCATATACACTAAAACATCATAAACACAATACAGAATTTTAATAATGATGATAATAATACAGTAATAATAAAGTAACTCCAGCTACTGGAGAGAGAGGTAGAGAGGGAATCCAACTGTTGAATGACTAAAGCCTAAAGCTTTCCCAGTGACCAAGGGCATCTTACCTTTCTCTGATCACTTTTTATTTCTGCTTTAGTTTTGACTATGATTGTTTTCTTTTCTTTGATGCATCACCTGCACTTGCATCTGATTTACGCCTTGGAGGCATGGTTACAAACCAGATGCAGTACAAAGTTACAGAAGACAACACTAACTCCAAGTGATCTGAAACACACTGGCTTGGACACGCTAGTTGTTCATGAGCATGGAGAGCATGAAAAAAAACTCGTTTTGACTTTGCCACTTGCCACGTTTTCCCTTCCCTTCCCCTCCCTTCCCCTCCCTTCCCCTCCCTTCCCCTCCCTTCCCTTCCCTTCCCTTCCTCAGGGCCCACGGGTGCCCACTTGCCACTCAAGGACAAGGCAAGACTTCTGGGATTGCTTGTTTTTAAGGAGGAAATGTTTTTAACTCAGAAATTCGTAACTGGAGAACTGCGTATACTTATTTTTCTAGGCATTTGGGGTTTCTCTACTTGAGGTATGTAACTTGATTTACTGAGCGTTCTTTTCAGTGCATCCTTTTACACAAGTCGCCCCCATCCCCAGGGATTTTCCTACATGCCTTTCTCTGTTCCTATGTTCTATTATACAACACAAGGTGGCAATGTGGAATGAAGCAGAAGACAGACTTTACACAAGGTTTCCATAGCAAATAATGACACCATCCTAGAATATACCCTTCTTTAAAAAGTCCTGAAAATGGCTGAAAAGCACAGGACAGGACAACAAGAGAGGGGCTGGTGGCATGACGACATCATGTAAAGGGCACACAAACTTCGGTAAATGTAGGTTCACAACCACATAATTGATACCTTGTGCAGAAAAGCCCTTGGTCATTAGTCTTTCTTGTGGGCTGATTTGTGTTGCTCATTCTAGGTAGTAAAGGCAGGGTGAATACTTTCTCATATTACATCAATGTCTCATATTTGGGTTATCCATTATGGTATTTCTTTTTCACTGTATTATTGTATATATTATGCAGCATTTGGATTTTTTCCCCTGTAATATTAATTATGCATATCAGGATTTATGTCAGTGCATAAATCACTTCAGGACTACTTTTTGTGGTGGGAAATGATGCATACATTGAGTTCATCATTATCACCACATAGCATTTACCTTCTAGACAAGATGTGAGACCAATGAGGCAAGTCAGCCGCAGCCAAATCATTCTCGTGGCTCGTCTCTTCATCCTTATGATGGTCTTAGGATCCTCGTAGCTTCTCCAGAGCACCCACCATCTTCCTTCAGTTACAATTGTGCCCACAGATGTCCCAACTGGATAGGAAGGGCCAAGAGTCTGCAGCCACCAATGCGCAAGCAACTCCAGATGAAAAGGAGCACTGCAATAAACAAGACAGCAACAGAAAAGAAACCATTATATCATGCCCTCCAAGCAGGTCATCTTCAAGTACCAAGTCAACTGGTATCGCCAAGAAACCAGCTACTTAATTGAGGAACAGAACTGTATGGCCAAAGAATGTTTATGTGGTATAATTTGTTCTTTTAATGGACTGTAATCAAGTCATTCTCCTCATAAACGCATTTTAATTATTTGTTCTAAGTACCAGATATTAAGTTCTACTTTGCTTGTTCTAGTAACTTGTCAAGAATGTGATGCTGAGTTTAGGGAATCTACATTTTTTCTGGCTGGTATTCCCTTTCCCCCACCACAATTAAACTGTATCCACAGCCCAATGGGAAGTTCTTTAACATTTGCCCCCCACTGAAAAGGACTAATGCTGTTTGGAGCGATTCCCATTTATTTTAATGAGACCCACACGAGACATCCCATCAGACTATGCCCTATACATGTACTCTCTGCTAAACACAAACAAACAAAAAACACCATCCAGAGGGGGCTGAAGAGCTGCCTCCTGACAAATGGGAATGTTCAGCAGGCTTGAAACTTGCTTTTGGTGAGGAGAGGAGAGGAGAGGAGAGGAGAGGAATTACAGGACATCCACCTCTTTATTTTCTGAGCTCCCCAAGAATTACAGTGTGCACACCCACACACACGCCTGCCTTTGCATGCCCTTCACAATTCAGCTGGCACTTCGGACATCTCTCCTGAGATTTTGCAAGCCATTATTAGGACTTCCTCAATGCATCTTCTAATTCCTTATATAATTTCCTTCAGTTCCTTATAAGCAGGGGGACATCAATTTCAGGACAGACACAAAGCAGACCTATCACTGACTCCATGGTTTATTATTCAGCCACAATAAACCAGTGAATATCAGCTGCTAGATGATGATGGATTAGGCTGCTTTGCACAAGCACCTATTGCAGCTTGATTCTAGATGGAGATGGTTGGGTACAGAATGATCTGGTCTGACCCAGGAGGGGTCCTCTCATGTAGAGCAGCCCCCTAATTCTTCTTCTTTTGATCAGCTTTTCTCCTATATTGACTTGTAACCTTTGTAATCTTAGCTGATCCTGTTAATCATTTGTCCAAAATCTACATTTCTTAAGAAAGGCCAAGGTGGAGGAAGCATGGCCCTTGAGCAATCTGGATTTCCTTGCCTCATTAAAAGCTTTGATCATATCAAAGCTCTTGAAGGAGCTGCAGTCTTTGACTCACCTTGGGCAAACTTTGCTGACTTTGCAAACCTGACCCTTCCAAATCTCCTCAGATTGGCTACTGAGTGACTGACTGCACTTACTGAGAATCTACACCTCCCTCTTTAAGTGGAGCAAAATTAGGGATTGACTTTGCTCCTCTTTATGGAAGAGGTATTGACAATCTGGTGCCTCGCTCTCAACTGGAATGTGACTCCTCAGACACAGTCCAGCAAGTGGGTTCCTCCCCAGTCTCTTCACCACCAGGATATTCGTGCGCCATCCCCAATGAAGGGCTGCACATCTCCTTGTGACGGAAGACATGAGAATTTAACTTTGGCCACAGACTATTTTCAGCTCTCAAGTGTTTGGAGGGCATGTACTTAAATTAATTTTGTTCTGATACAATCTGGCTGTGTAATTACCGGGCTGCTTCATGACATTCCAGGCATAGGCTCGCTCAGAGTTGCTTCGTGTTTCTGAAAAAATAACATTTGCTTTGCACTTACATTCACAAGAAGAAGCCAGAGCCAGTGCTAGCTTCTGGGCACATACACACCTGCAGTGTCCAGGAATTTGAAAACTCATTTATTTTTCATATGCCTGTATTATAATTTATAGATATCTATAAAATATTGTTCAGGCATAACAAAAATAATGTGTCATGCACCCCTCAGGGCTCATCATACCAGTTGACTTACCATAAAAAAAGCAGAAAACCTGGATAGTCACACTCTAAAAATTGGGCTCAGTCCACAACCATCAATTGCTTTTACACCAGAGTAGCTGTCAGGGTTTCCCACAATGAATCCTGGGAATTGTATTTTGCACAAGGGTGCTGAGAATTCAATTAGTATTTCCGACCCTGCTTACTGGACAACAGCTCACAAGATTTCCTAGGGTTAGGAAACAATTTTCAATATAGTCTTACTCCACAGAATGAATATGGACTTGGATTCTAGGATTGCTAAAAGCATTTATGCATGAGAAAAGGTGAAATGTGAATATAGAATATAGAAAGCACAGCTTTAAAATGTATTTCTATACAGATGTGCACAACGTGGAAGTTTTACAAATAGCTAGGGAAAGGGGATTTGCTGGAGTAAATTGAGCAAGTGGGGTGCGGAAACATTAGCCTGCCAGGCGCTCTCTCCAAGAAAAATAAGAGATCCATTGCTTGAACCATTTACAGGCCATCTAAGTAAAGCCACAGAGAATATTATGAGAGCTGTAAATAATAAAATACCTGTCTTTCTGAACAGCCTTTAATAGTAACATTTCAACCCATCTTACACAGATCAGAAAAAGAAGCAAAACACAAGAGCAGCCCTATATAATCTTTAGCAAACCATAGTCTTCTAGATGCTTTGACTACAACTCCCAGCACTGCTATTAGCCATGCTGGCTGGGGTTGATGGAAGTTGAAGTCTAAGGCATCTGGAGGAGGAATGCTGCCCATATACATAACCCAGCAACCCATTTCATTTAGTGGTCAGCCAGATGCTTCTGGGAAAACCACAAGAAGGGTGCCAAGATAGTTTCCTCCCTATTGCTTGTACTCTAGGAACTGGCAGGCAGAGTTGTACTGGCAAAGTTGCCTGTACTGCAACCGCTCATCACTTTCTCTTATTCCTTCTTGCAACGGAAGGAATCTCTGGCCATCTCTGTGCAGGTAAGCATTTTTCCACTGGGGTGACAAGGATGAGATTTGGGTAAGGAATGAAAAGGAACACGAGAGAGGCAATCACAGAATTCACGGGAGCCAAGAGGCCAACGCCCACCGAACGGCAGGGTCATCCACAGTACTGGAGTTGCTTTGAAATACTTAAAGGAGATGCTAAGGGTAGAACTACACTTTAACAAATATGGGGACTTCTTCCAAAAATGGCAGCCCTGTGTGAAGCCTTCCCCTTTCCCTATGGGGTAGTATAACCAACCTTAGACACTGCTGCTGTCATTATGTTCAGTGCTTTCCTGTCCTCCCACTGGAGAAGCAGTTAGAACTAGCTGCCATTTTGAAAGGCAACCCCATTTTGTTGCGATGCGTCATTCTATTCCTAGATAGAATCTCCAAGTAAGTATCCATCTGAAGCTGACGTCTGTATGCAACTTGTTCACAAAAGCATTGTAACACCCTCAATCCATTCCCCCTTCCATGTCTTTATTTCCATAAAGCAGGTAAATGATTTCATGGAGGCTGTACATCAGTGAACCTTAAAGAATGCTCCAGTACAAAATTTACCTGTGCAATAATCTGTTCCCCAAAAGACACAACTACTGGACATTGCCAAAACATATGTTTAAAGGGTGCAGGAGCTGTATTGCATTACTAGCAATTAGCCAAATGAGATAATCTCTTATTAAAGCGACATTGTAGAGGCCAAGAGACACATACGTTTTTGCGGAATAAGACCCCACTTAAGGTCCACAGATGTAACAGGCAGATACCAAAGCGATAATCCACTGATTCAGGACTTTGTGGCCGTACTCCAGTTTCTCAAATTCCCAAGTGTGGCTGTTGAGTCCAAAAGGGTTGGGGACCCTATTCATTCACTCACTCACACTTATGTATCAATCCCTGCCTATCTTACCCAGCTCTTTTGACCCTCCTGCAAAATTCACCTGCTCTGCCCAAGCCAATCTGAATCGCTCTTTTCTTCCACAACATCTGTGCTTTTGTCAGGCTGGATTAGACTGGAAAATTACTCCCCCCCTCCTTGCTGCCTGCCTTCCTTTCTTAAATAAATTATGACTAATCCAAAAAGCTGGTTTTGATTTAGACAGTGGGGGAGGGGGAGAAGGACTGTAAGTTAGTTTCTGCTGATTTCAGACTCTTGCTTACCCACAACCAAAGCCACAAATGATGACAAGAAGGGACAAAGGAGGATCTTAGACGGGAGAGGCATGAGCTAAGTTATACCCATGGACATGGCACAAGCCTTCCTGTGGGCTGGAAGGCACACGATGGCACTCTTTCCATCCCTTCCAGGATGGAAAGATCAGTGGAATCCAAGAGCCACTGCAGGCACAGCCTTAATGCGATAGGGAAGTGGAGTCCGTGGTCCATCTCTGATAGCACAATGACAGCTTCTCCCCAGAAGAGGCTCTGACACAGACAAGGCAGCTCCCCACCCCAATGCCCTCCTGCACTCAAGTACGGTCTTCTTTGCCTGAAGACTGTCTCCAGATAAATAAACCAGGCCACATGAGGAGTCAAGCCCACAGTAGTTCCTGAACTGACTGAAGGGTGATGTCATTCTTTGCACCGTGAACAAGCCCTAGCCAAAGTGAGGCGTGCAGCAAAACTTGCCAGGCCAGCACACCAAAGAGGGCTCTTAATGACAAAAAGGCAGAGCACATCCGACAAGACTCTTCACCACCTCTAAAGCTTCTCACTCATGTTTGCTTTCTGATCTTTGTGACTGGGGACACTACCCAGATGCCTGCGTCACCTCTCCTTTATTATTTTATTGAAAAATAACATAACACATGTGATATATCCTGTCCTCCTTTAAATGAAACTCAAGAAAGGCAGTTGATGGGAGCAGAATCTTGTCAAGAGCACCAACAAACCATTTCCCAGTCCTCTGCTAGCCCCTCAAAATAAGTCTCTGAAATATGGTTGTGAAGAAGTCCATGCATGTCTGAATTTGTCTGGAATCAA